TAGCTGAAGCTGGGCCAGAATCAGGCGAGGATGAAGCTGAGGATGAAACCGGACCAGGCGTGGATGAAGCCGGGCCAGGCGTGGATGAAGCCGGGCCAGGCGAGGCTGAAGCCGGGCCAGGCGAGGCTGAAGCTGTAGCTGAAGCCGGGCCAGGCGAAGCTGACGCTGTAGCCGAAGCTGGGCCAGGTGAGGATGAAGCTGGACCAGAACCAGGCGAGGCTGAAGCCGGGCCAGGCGAGGACGAAGCCGGGCCGGGCGAGGACGAAGCTTCAGGCTGAGGCGTGGCAGTAGCAGGTGGTAGCGCTGCAGCCACAGGTGGAGAAGCAGCCACAGGTGGCCGGACGGGATCCTCGGGCCCCCAGCTGATGTGGCAGCCGGTGTGGCATGAGGCTGGATGGGCTCCTCGGGCCCCCCAGTCGAAGAAGCAGGTGGCTGAGTGGCTAACTGGAGCGGCGGCAGAACCGGTAATTGTGTCCGTAGGGAGGCTAACGGTTGAGCTGCAGACTGGGAAGCTTGTGGCTGGACACAGAACTGAGCCGGAGAATGGCAATAAAGTCCTGGCTCAGAAGGAGCGGCAGAGAAACAGTCTCTCGGTTTTACAGAGGGTTTGTACACGCCCACTTGGGAAGGATCCGTTACCACGAAGGTAGGTAAGCGACCCGTACAGTCTCCCATCCCGCTCTGAATAGCCCCAGAAAATAAAGTCCCGGAAACTGGGGAAAGCAATGCATCCCGCTCACTCACCGCATCGGGCTGCTCGAAAGTGAATGCAGACGGGGGGTGTAGTCCAAGGTCCAAAAGGAGAAACTCCCGCTCCCACGAACAGAGCGAGCCCAGAAGCCATGGGAGACCGGTCACCAGACGCTGTAGCCGCCTCTCTATAGCGCGCTGGGACGTGCCACCCGGGCTTTCCAGCCACAGGTCGATCAGCTCCTGTGTGGCATCGATGAGCGTCTCCCGTAGCTCCCTGGACGGGTTAAGCGCTGCTGGGTCCATGTTGTGGTCGCGTCGTACTGTCACGGTCCGGGGCAGCGGCCGTGTGGAGAGCGGAAGGACGACTCAAAACGCAGCACTTATTCAGGTGTGAGGGTGATTTATTGATAATATCCAATATAAAGTGGGGATGGTAAAACAGAACTAAGGATGAACTAACTGGGAGAAACTACACAAAGAAATAGCAAACCTGAGCATGAAGGGAGAACAGCAGGGAGAGCACGCAGGGGATTACACCAGGTATGAACACAGACGACGCGACGAGGAGCAGAGGAAATCACACACTATAAATACACAAAGAGACACTGGGAAATCACACACAGGTGGGGGAAACAGCTGGACCTGATTAACCTGACGAGACAGGGGAACACTAACACCAGGGACCAACAGAGGGAGCACAAACCCAGAACCCAGTGTCTAAAATCCCAAACACAAACCATCCCAAAACAGCCATGAATAATAATGAAAGTAATAACAATAAAGAACATAAACATAAAGTCACTGAGTCATGGTCGCAGGACCATGACAGTAGCAATGACTCCAAACAACTCTTAGGATTGCCAATAAAACCATGCGAAATAAAAAACCCATCTTCGTTAAAAGAAGTTCCACAAAGCACAAGCCGATGCTATAAAAATAAAAGAATGAAATAAAATAAGTTAAAACACTGACAATGACAGACAGAGACAACCTGCTTCCTCTTCCCTAAGAGTATGTATCATACATATACCAACAAGACAGTGTACATCACTGTCACAACTGCATTTGTTTCCGTTCAAAGGCTTTATGTCTTTTACTATAATACCTGATGGGCTAGTCAAAATGCCCTGGCCGATTTTTTGTCCCAGTGCAGCCCTGCTAATGCAATCAAATGGCACATTGACTTCTGAGGAAATTTTAGATGGCACTCGTCATCAGAAAGGTCGCCGACTGTGTACAGAAACATCTGCGCCAAATACAGCATCATCAGAAAGAAGGAACATGAGAAGCTTGAGAAATACCAAGTGGTCAGAGAAGAGCTCGAGAAGATGTGGAGGGTGAAGGTAACAGTGGTCCCCGTGGTAATCGGAGCACTCTGTGCGTTAACTCCCAAGCTAGGTGAGTGGCTCCAGCAGATCCCAGGAACAGCATCGGAGATCTCTGTCCAGAAGAGCGCAGTCATAGGAACAACTAAGAGAGCAGGACCCTCAAGCTCCCAGGCCTCTGGTAGAGGACCTGAGCTTGAAGGATAGGCCGCCAGCAGGGGTGAGCGGGAAATTTTTAATTTTGTATAAATTTTGTTTTGAAATTATGGTGCATAGTTCAGAATAAATGTTTTTTCAGAAAAACAGCCTCTTTTTAATAAATGTTTATTTCCAAGGAATTTCTAACCTTTACACCTTTCAGAATTTATTAGAAGATAACTTTTATGTAGTTAAAATAAGATACTCTGTGAGAGTATCGTATTTATCTATATAAACTCTTAACACATAGTTAATGTTAATAGGTGTTAAATTATCAACTCCAGACAGATTTGATATTTAACACCAAATCAGAGTTAATGTACCAACTCCACAAAAAGAGTTAAATTAACCACTGGTGTGGACCCACATGGACACTTTAATAGAGCTGAAATCAAATCTGACAGTGTTAATTTGGGCATGGATTTGCTGTGTATATTAGTGCTCAATGATATACATGAAGGCAAAGGAGCGATGAATGGGAAAAAAGCCTGCATGGCCTTATACTGGCAGATGCCTATAATTAAGGTGAAGGTGTGTTTCCACTCAACCCAAGCATGAGCAAGCAAGTAGCCCATCTGGCTTCATTTGTTGGGGGGGGGGTAGGGGTTTGAGGGTTGTATTTGTGAATTTACATCAGCCTCAGCTCTAGAAAGTAAATTACCTGCATATTGAGCTTTTATCCTCAGGGAGGCGTTACAGACCAAAGAGTGCTGCAGGTCAGAGTGAATAGAAAAACAGCCTGACATGTGTTTAAAATAAAAGTAAAGGCTGTCATTTGGATTTTATTACTACATAAACACATAACTTACAACATCATATATGCAGCACACATTGAACAGCACTGACTGAATATTATTGAAAAAGACGACTTTCATGTGTCTGATTTGGTGGTTTGAATTTATTTATTTATCTGCATATTCATTTTTAACCACTTTCTTCCTGTGGCAGTTGATAGCGTAGAGTAGCGGTCGCGAGAGTTGAGGCTCGGGTGTGAAATTTATGGTTTTCAGAGTTTTTATCGTGAAATGTTTGTCTTGGCTTAAAGGCCCTAAAGGAAAATATTGGCTGACATTAAACTGGTCCATGGTGCAAAAAAGGTTGGACACCGCTGGGGTTGAGTTCTAGATAAGGTATCAATATAGAATTATTTCAACTTGAAAACCAGAAATGGTCACATGTCAAAAGTTGGAAGGCGCAATGAACAAATAATTGTTTTGATTTTCATTAAGTTAATAATCCACATCTGTACGTATGACGAAGTTAAATGTCACAGATGAAATAGTCAGGAGAGGATCAAAACTATTAAATCAAGTTTTAAAAAGAGACTTTTTCATTTGATTACATTTTATTTGATGGATTATGCAGAAAAAGTAGAATTGGGCTGAAAGAGCTATTGCTTTATAACCTATTCAGGTTGTGTATCATCTTTTTAAAAAGTAACTAAGTAACTAATTAGTTTTGAAAATAAGTAATCAGTAAAGTAACAGGATTACTTTTTTGGAGAAGTAATCAGTAATTAGCCCATGTCTGTGTGGTAACAAATGGGTTTTTCAACAGCGACAATGCTACAGAACACAATGCCTGGAGGACAAGGGACTTCTTCCAGGAGAATAACATCACTCTCTTGGACCATCCTGTATGTTCCCCCTGATCTAAATCCACTTGAGAACCTTTGGGGATGGATGGTGAAGGACTTTTACAAAAATGGACGGCAGTTCCTGACAGTAGATGCTCTTTGTGTTGCTGTCTTCACCACTTGGAGAAATGTTTCCACTCACCTAATAAAAACGCTTGCATTAAGTCATCAACAAAAACAGTGGAGCTACTCATCACTGAGTTCATGTTTGGAACTCTGAGTTCTGTTTTTGGGGGGTTTTATGGGTTTTTATGGAGGTGTTGCCCTAAATTTTTGATCAGCTGTAAAACAGCCTGTTTCAGTTTATTATCATGCTAAAAAAAATGTTTTGTCTCACTCCCATTTCTTCATGTTGCTTGTTGAAGGTCTGTTTCGAATGTTCTTAAGATCAAACCATACAAATTATGATTTTTTTTGTGCCATTTTTCAACTGGTCTTAAACTTTTGATTGAGACTATATGTCTCTTTCTCTCTACTATGTTAGGGCAGGGATAGCTCAGTAGGTAGAGTGGTCGCCCCATGATCGGAAGGTCGGGGGTTTGAATCAACTGAACAGCTACCCTGAGGTACCCTTGAGCAAGGTACCGTCCCTACACACTGCTCCCCAGGCGCCTGCTTAGTGGCTGCCCATTGTTTCACTGAGTGAATGAAATGCAGAGAAAAACAAGTAGTAGACTTTCTTCTTACTGTGCAGTAAGAAAAAAAAAAACCAGCTAGAAAACACTAAATACTATTTTAACACTATCACATAAAAACAGGTAAGAGGTAAGAGTCTTCTGATTGGATTGGAGATCGAGGTTCAACAATGTTAGGTGCCCAAAAAATTAGCTGAGGTGAATACTTGAATATACAGAACCACATTATTTTATTTTGTATTCCTGATGTACAGTGATTAAGATAGCTTGAAATCATGTATGGCAACCACAGAGTCTACGCCTGTTCCTCACTGAGAATCTTTAGGATGTGCTTGAGAACACTTCATGTGGTGGTCCAGTTTTCCCATCATCAGGATAAGATCTCTGTGAAAAATGACACAGCACAAGCTTCAATACAGTGTCACAGGGAACATGTGCTGCTATTAAAGCATAAGGTAGTCCACAAAATATCACAGGGTATTTGTTTTGTTTTTTACAGAGCACTTTATTTTGATGAATGTTATTTACTTACACCACTCCATTTGCAAGTGTATTAATGTAAAAGCTGAATTATCAATAGGCTACATAAAAAAATAAAGCATAATACAAACATGGAAACATTTCTTTAGATTTATCATTCCAAACAGCAAAAACACAGAATGGACACTTTACATAGTCTGACAAAAATTGCATACAGAGAGACTGGGTGTCGTGCAGACTTGTAAACGTCTCAGTGGGACTCCAGAGGAGCTGGGGGAGGTGCAGGAAGCTACAAAGGAAAATGAGGTCGGGCTGTCTCTGATCAGACTGCTGCACCCAACACCTGAACCGAGGTAAGCATCAGAAAGCAGACTGCTGGATGGGCAGGATTTGTCAGTGGTCATTTGTATTGATTTTGTAGCTGCACCTCTTCATCTTCTTTCAGAAGTATTCATCAAATAACGGTTCGGTGTCTCTGATGTCTATCGGACAAAAAAACATTTTTGTCAGAAAACACAGAAGTGTCTCTGTAAAGAACAAAGTTATTTCAGTCACTCTAGACTGAAATCTGAACTCTTGTGTTAACTGAATGACATTAAACTAGACTTGAAAAATGAAAACAATTAAAATAAATAAATAAAAAACAAGTGTTAGTGTTTACTGAGACAAAGTTGTACTTATAGCTTGTTTTTACTTCTGTGCTCTATTCCAGGCACTGCGTGCAACAAAATCACAGTTCTGACTCACTGTGAGGAATTGAACATGTGTCAGTGTGGATGGTGATAGTCTTTGAAAAACTAAACAAACTAGAAAGGATTAAAAGAGTCGTTTTACGGACACTGTGAGCAGATCCAAAATCTAATCTGGATAGGAAGAGCTGGGAAAAGACCAGAATCAGAATTGGATCTTGGTCTGAATTAATGACTCTTGTTCATATTGTGCAATTGGACTCTGATCCGTATGTGGTTTTCTGATCAGTTCTAAAGCCTCCAAGTGACCATTTTCAGCGAAAGATATATTGAGCGACAAAGTTTCAAAAACTAACCCATTAAAATTTTTGTTTAACATTATTTAAATGATCGAATCGCATTCTGTGAACAAGTTCCTACTTGTAATGTTCAGACCACACGCAGTCTGGATTTTAAAATTCCCTTTAGACTACATTTAATCCCATTTTAGAATTTCAAAAGTAATTTAAGCCTCATTTTCACTCAGATATGTCACATAGACATATATACAGAAAAAGAATAGAAAAGCCCAGTATAGATATATATACACTAGGTTATTATTTGGTGGTTCTGCTCTGCAACTCCAAACACAAATAACTCCCATGTAACAATCTAACAATAACTAAATTAGAATCCAGTAATTAAAAGCCAACTGAGATCATTAAACAGGGATCAAAGGGGGGGTTGGCGAGGCAGACACAGTGTTTCCCACCACTGTTTACAAACTACTTTGCAATGAGCAAGTTTCCTGCACCAAGTATTAAATAATATCAGTAACAATTAAAAATAGTAGCTATGGTGATTTTTTTATGATACAGAAGTGAGGACATTGTTTAATGACTGTAATGGTTTTATAATAATTCCCAACTGTTCCAGAATGTTCTTTCCATTTAAACTTTTAATAAAACTATATTTTAATGAATATGGCTGTTACGTTGTCATTTCTCAAGAAAAAAAGTGTTTTAAAATCCCCCAAAATTCACTCTCACTGCTCTCTGAAAGATTAATTAAGACACTGTAGCCTGTTCAACAATCAAAAACACTAGTGGTTAAATTAAACTCTAACAGTTAAAATTTATAACACTAAAATAAGTTCATCCTTCATTAATTCAAATGGGACGATACATATGCTAGTTGCAGTGGCGGTCCTAGCCTGTTTGGCGCCCCGGGCGAACACTCCCTCTGGCCTGTATTGCCTGCATCTTTTGCTCGTTTCTCTTCGCTTCTTTTCTATTATTTCTAAACTGAGCACCTGATGGCTTTCAACGTTTCTTGTCCATCTTCCATTGGTTTTAATTTTGCCCTCCAGTATGAACACAAATCCACCAACTCGAGGATCACCACAACATGACCTAACAGACCTACACCTTAGTTCACAGATTCACTTTGTCTAAGGTTTATTTCTGGGATTTCACACAACCCAGGATTCAGATCATGAATACATAATGGGCTTGGATTCACATCATTATGAATGAAATGTGCTCTATTTGGAAGCAGCCCCTCCCCTTTCGACGGGTTGTGTGTGCGACTTTAAATCATCAAACTATAAATTGTTATTGATCCCTTTACCCCGAGTCCTAAAGTGTATATTTATTTTCTTACTCTTCTTATATTTATTGTTTACTTAACTGGAGCCTCGTCGTCTCGTCTCTCTATATATATTGGACTGTATGGTAAATGGCCTCTATTTGTATAGCGCTTTACACATCTAGTCATCCACACATTGGTGATGGCAGCTACATTGTAGCCACAGCTGCCTTGGGCGAGGCTGTCGGACACTGGCGCCACCGGGTCCTCTGACCACCACCAGTAGGCAACGGGTGAAGTGTCTTGCCCAAGGACACAACGATCGAGACTGTCCAAGCCAGGGCTCGAACCGGCAACCTTCCGATTACAAGGCGACCTCCCAACTCTTGAGCCACGATCGTGTGGCTCACCTATGTAGCGGAGATGACAAAGTTTACTTTGACTTCAGCAGCAAGCCGGCGCATCGAGGGCTCTCGCGCTCACTTTTCATGTTTCGAAAAAACATCGGTGCAAATTATAAGTCTGTATCATGATGTCTGGTGTTTTCGTGTTTGTTGTTTTGTTTTTATTTTGTTTTATTTTGCGAGTTGGTTATTAGATGCCGCCCCGCCCTCTCCTCCCTGTTACTTTTATAGTTTAGAAATTTACTGTCTGCTGTGTCATCTATGGAACGCCAGGACAGCCATAATGTATTAATGAAATACACCATTAAATAATTATTTGAATGTGGCAATAATTAATTAAAATGTGAAATAAATAAATAATTAGTTAAATGTGTCAATAATTACTTAATAATTACTGTGTTAATTTTTTTTATTATTTCAAATTTTAATTAATTATTGCCACATTTAATTAATTATTTAATGGTGTATTTAATTAATTCATTATAGCAGTCCTTGCGTTCCATAGTCATTATGATAGTTTTGTAAATGTAAAACCAGCAAAAAGGTTTTAGTGAAAACAAGTACAGCAGAGACCTCGGGGGGCAAATGTGCAGATCACCGTCTTCACATCAGTGAAGAAACATAATGAAGTGTCTGATTTTCAGTATTTTCACAGTAAAAGGGAAGTTGAGTGATGTCAAGAGCTGTAAGATGAAATAAGGATTGTGGGTTAATTTACCTTGTGACAATGCTTGGAGTTCATACTTTTGTGCCTGCAAAATAATTTTATGAATGAATAAAAAATGTATTTCTCACTGAAAAAAGAAATGACAGAATCTCTGTGCACTAATTATTGGCTCTTCATTGTGTTTCTGCACAGTGTTAGTGTTCAGCAGATTCCTAATATGGATCCTATTATTTATTAACCTTTATTTATCTATTTGCAAACTAGGAGGAAACACAAGTGTAAACTAATGTATTTTTCGATTTCCAGTTAACTTGCACCAAAATTACAAGTTCAACTTATTCATGGTCAGCTGAATCCAAACAAAAACTAGTTTCATCATTTTAGACCAGACTTGTTGACTCTAGGCCCAATAACGGCAACATAATTTAATATGTCAATATTTCAGTTTGCATTTCTGTTTAAAACAGGGTTACCTTTGGTCTGTTCAATAATGTTGATCCTGTTTGGTCCAACACCTAAAGTATATTTTGAGTTCTGGCTCCTTCAGTGATTGAGTCTGACGCCCCTGACTGAGTCTGGCAGCTGTAACATCTGTATATAACAGAGCCTTTTACCTGCTGATGTGCTGCTGCTTGATGATGCTGTCCCCCTCTGCTGGAGCTCCCCTCACTGATCCAGTTGATCTGCTGGTTGATTGCTTCTGGTTTTTGATGTTTTGCATTACTGATCATTTGTTGAGCAACGTTAAAACAGCCGTCCCAGTCTTTCCTTTTTATGTTGCTCGTGATTTCTTTAGTCAGAGTTTCATTTGCTTCTTTCCTCAAAAGCTCCTCCAGAACTTTTTTCTCTTCTTCCAAAATCAGTTTGTAGTAAAAAGTTTTCTTGTTGCACCAACTGAATTTTTTTATAAACCATTTTCTCCACCCACTCCAAGTCATGAAGAAAGCAACAACAGTCATGCTGAGGAGCAGAGAGTAAGCAGCAAGCTGAAAAAGAAGCAACAAACATGCAAAACATAACAGCATTAATGTGTGTGTGTATTTATTATACTTTCATAAATTAAAAAAACAGAACAATAACATTACATGTGCACTGTGTGTGAAAAATAACAAAACATCCTCACCTTTGACCTCATTTGCAGCTCAGGTATTTGAGCTTTTTCATCAGCCGTGAGACCCTCAGGTTCGCAGAACAGCTTCCTCTTTTTTTCATCAGTGGTACAGCAACTATACCAGTCTGTGAAAAGCAACACAGCTACAATCCACAGCAGACTGATTAGAAACGCTCTGATAACGCGCTTTAGTACAAGGCATAAAAACGTGGATGGATGCTCCGCTGTGCTCCGAAATGTCTGGTCTATCAGGAGCACCAGGAAAAATACTAAAAGAACAGGCACGACCACCATTTCATTGCAATCAAAAGTGTGGCCTGAGCAAGCGCACATCTTGGCTTGCAGATAGAAAAATGCAAAGAAAATCCCGATGCCTGTGCCAGTGGTGCCGATTTTTCCACTACGGACATATTGCAGGAGTTTATTCAACATCTTGAGCAGTTCGGTGCCTGCTGAGGCTGCAGCTTCTGACCTGTAAAATTACAGACACGGAAAAAGAAATATTTCCTGCTTTTCACACCAAGTATCACAGTCTCTTTGAAATTCAGCTTAATATCTCAGTCCTATAGCAGCTGTGAAGTGAGCAAGTCCTCCAGTCAAAGTGATGATATGAGCTCTCTGCTCCCACCCTCACATAAGAACCACGAGTGCTGCTCCTACAGGTGGCAGGATGCAAACGCAACGTGACGTCATGAGAAGGAGTTTAAACAGCACTCTGTTCAAAACCGTTTCCAATGTGGTGTCAGCGAATTTCAAACTTTTCCCAAACACTTTATACTATGATGAGGTTGTGTGTCACGACAGGTTTTTTGATGAATGAGTTGGAATGATGAATTCTATTCACAGTTTGAAGCGTAGAGTGTTACAGATACAAAGTGAATTTATGTTATTTATGTCATGAGATGTTAAAACGTGTGGTTAACACAATTTAGTCACCACAGCCTGTGGAGTCTACTGTAAAGAGATGGCAACTCAAACCAACTTTTTTATTCAGTGTTGAAACAAAAAATGTCAAGCAAACATGAACAAGAGAGGTTTTGGTTTGGTAATTTATTTCAACATGTGAACAATATACAAGTACATTTAGAAAAGAAATAAGAGAGAAAAAAATACTATACAAATTACATACAAAAAACATTCTGATTAATTTACATGTTGAAAGGGAGTGGGAAGAAGTATACACTTATTTAATCCCACCCCTGTCCCATAAATTATCAGTGAATATTTAGTCAGCTTCCTTACTGATATAATTTGTAATAAAAATAGTGAACAGATTTCTGATATACTATATACTATAATATTACATCATGAATTTATTGTTTGTTTGTTTGTTTTTAAATAGAGACATTCACTTAATTTAAATATTTTCCTTTTCTTTATAGATCGAGAAGATCATATTTTTATAACTCTTTTTAAACAGTTTTATGTTTGGACATTGCTTTAATTCCATATTCAGTTTGTTCCATAATTTCACCCCTTGAACAGAAACACAAAAGCCTTTTCTTGTAGTACGTACCTTCATTGTTTTGAAGTTACAAAAACCCCTTAAATTATGACTTCCTTCTTTCAAAAAAAACATACTCTGAATATTACCTGGCAGTTCTTTATTTTTTGCTTTGAATAGAATTTGTGCTGTTTGGAATTTCACTATATCGTCAATTTTCAATATTTCAGACTGCAAAAATAGTGAGTTTGTATGTTCCCTATAACCTGCATTGTGGATGATTCGAACTGCTTTTTTTTGAAGAGTAAAAAGTGAATGTAATGTGGTTTTATAGTTATTGCCCCAGACCTCTGCACAATAGCTTAAGTATGGTGAAACCAGTGAACAGTAGAGAATATGAAGTGATGTTCTGTCGAATACCTGTTTTGCCTTGTTTAGTACTGCAATGCTTCGTGATACTCTGGAATGAATATATCTTACGTGAGCTCTCCAGTTAAGTTTTTCATCTATTATTACCCCCAGAAATTTATTTTCACTGACTCTTTCAATATCAACACCATTTATTTGAATCTTTGCATTTGTATTTAAACTACTATTTCCAAATAACATAAGTTTAGATTTATTCAAATTTAATGATAATTTGTTTTTATCAAGCCAGAACTTCACTTTACTTATTTCATTAGTCATATCCTCCAATAAATTCTGCAGATCATCACCAGAGCAAAAAATGTTTGTATCGTCAGCAAAGAGAACCATTTTTAATACTTTGGACACTTTACAGATGTCGTTAATGTACAAGTTGAAGAATTTTGGACCCAAAACTGACCCTTGGGGTACACCACAAGCAATGTCCATACATAAGGAGCAACCACCATTTATTTTCACAAACTGCTTTCTGTCACTTAAATAACTCCGGACCCAATCTAAAACTACCCCTCTGACACCATAACGTTCCAGTTTTCTTATTAATATATCAGGATCTATAGAGTCAAATGCCTTTGTCAAGTCTATGAATAACCCAGCCACATATTGCTTTTTGTCTATGGAATTTGTGATGTATTCTATTGAATCTAATAGTGCCGATGATGTTGATCTGCTTGATCTGAATCCGTACTGACTCTCAGTGAGTAGTTTATGTTTATCTATAAATTTTTCCAGTCTGTTTTTAAACAGTTTTTCAAGAACTTTTGAGAATTGAGGTAGTAAAGAGACAGGCCTGTAGTTTGTGAAATGGTGTTTGTTTCCAGATTTGTATAGAGGTATAACTTTTGCTATTTTCATTCTGTCTGGAAATCGACCAGTTTGAAATGATAAATTACAGATGTATGTAAATGGTTTTATAATAGCCTCAATGACTCTTTTAACCACTATCATATCAATATCATTACAATCCAAAGATTTCTGATTTTTACATTTTTTGACAATTTCAAAAACTTCATTTTCATCAACGGCTGTGAGAAACATAGAATATGGATTTCTGTCAATCAGTGTATCGGGCTTTTCCTGTGCTTTCCCAGGATGAGTGATTGTTCTTGCTAAATTTGGTCCAGCAGTTACAAAGAATTCATTGAGACTATTTGCCACAACATCCATATTGTATTCTTCATGGTCATTACAAATGAAATACTTGGGATAGTTCTTTTGTCCAGTCCCACATTTTATAACACTGTTCAGGATTTCCCATAATCTTTTATTATTATTTCTATTTATATCTAATTGCTTCTTATAGTATTCCTTTTTACTATATCTAAGTATATTAGTTAACCTATTTTTATATCTTTTGTATCTGATTTCAGCATCTTTAGTTCTCGTTCTTAAGAACTCTCTGTATAGAGCATTTTTCTTTATACATGCATTTTGCAGACCTTTTGTTATCCATGGACAGTCCATATATTTCTGTTTCCTACTATATTGCTTTATTGGACAGTTGTTATTGTACAGTAATGTAAATATTCTAAGGAATTTATTATAAGCACTATTAACGTCCTGTTCCTGATATAATTCACCCCAGTTTTCCTTCAATAAATCTTTTTTAAATGCATTCATTCTTTCTTCTGTTCTTACTCGTCTGTACTCTTTTTTACTGTCCATTTTATTGATCTTGTAATTCCTATCATAGATTGTAAAAATTGGAAGATGGTCACTTATGTCGTTAATCAGGAGTCCACTTACAGTCTTATTTTCAATGTCATTTGCAAAAATGTTGTCTATGAGAGTTGCACATTGTGATGTAATCCTGGTAGGTCTAGTAATTTTAGGGAATAGATTCATACAGTGCATTGTGTTTATAAATTCCTCAGTGGTTTTATGTTTATTTGGGTTTAGCAAATCAATATTGAAGTCTCCACAAATGAAAACTTTTTTGTGAGCTAGTTCAATAAATGTTTCTTCTATCCAGTCTTTAAATGTCTCAATACTACTACCTGGAGCTCTGTATATACAGCTAATGATTACATTTTTACTTTTTTCTTTACAAATTTCAACTGTAATACATTCTAGTACATTATCAATCACCATCGTCATCTTTTCCACCACATTAAATTTCAAAGATTTGTCCACATACAAGGCCACTCCTCCTCCTCCTTTGTTTCGCCTAGTTATAAATGTGAATTCATAACCCTCCAGTTCAAAGAAGAAAAAGAATGCAAGCAGGGTGGAGTGAGTGGAGATGACTGCCAGGGGTGATTTGTGGCAGAACAAGTGAAAGTTTACAAGATGGCAGTGAGACCTGCTGTGATGTATGGTTTGGAGATGGTGTTACCGAGAAAAAGGCAGATCTGCAGGAGGCAGATTAATGCTACTGTACTAAATTTAATACAGTCAGTCACGTTTGTAGGTGCTGTTTGATTTGGCATCATCTCACACCGGATACCCTTTCTGGGGCAACCACAACAGCACAAGAAGACAAATGTTTCCTGTGTTCATGCAAATTATCATATTTTCTGTTAGCAGTGGTGCCCAGTCAATGGTTTTTGTTACAGCAAATGTTTGTAGGTCTGGTGAACCCACTGTGGCTTTGGTTTGTAAATCAATGTATTCTAAAAAATGCATGTAAAAATGTATAGAATAACTGAGACAAAGATCTCTAGTGTTTTGTGAACTTCTAAAATCATACTTCAAATTATGCTTGTGGTTTAATGTCCT